CGGGCCCCCCCGCCCTGCCGCCCCCCTCCCTCCGAGCCCCGTTTCCCGGCGGCGGAGGAAAAGAGCGCCCAGGCCCCGCCGCGTCTGCTGTCCCGGCTGCCGACGGCGCCCGAATCCGCGCGGGAGCCCCGAGCGCGGCGCTTCGCTGCCACCTGGTGGCGGGAGGGAGAAGTGCTGAAAGAGGAGAGCGCACCCTGCCCAGGATGGAGAGGAAGGGGACAGAGAGCTGCGAGGACAGCCAGACGGAAAGATAGAGACCGAGAGACGGAGAGATGACGAGACAAGAGGAAGAGGAGAGACAAGGAGAGGAGCAAGAAGCAGAGAGATGGAGAGAGAAAGTGAGACAACGGAGCAAGAGGGACAGCTGGCTCCCACATTCTGAGGGCACAGTTCAAGTCCCTAGAGGAGAATGGTGAAGGGACTGCAGGGTGGCCATGTCCCAGGGGATGCTTTCTCACTTCCCCTCTCTTCCTCTCTCTCTGTCTCTCTTAGCAAATTCCAATAATAATAATTAATTAATTCGTAATTATTTATAAAAACGAATTGGAAGGGATGCTTCTAAATGGAGGTGTAAAGAGATTTTTTTTTTAAATCTATTCTCTTCTGCTGTTGTTTTGCCATAGGGCACGTGCGCTCCCTGGAGAGAGACAATGAGAGAAGGAATGTGAGAAATCGCCCCCCAGATAGAATGGCTGGACTGCAATCCTCTCTCCTCCTCTCTCCCCCTGGGATGCCGGGCATGCACGCACACGTGCCTAGCATTTCTGAAGCAGACTAATGATTTTGGAAACCTCAGTACTTACTATAAAGCAATCATCATTGCCATGGGGTCAGAGTTCGGGGATACACAGAGACCCCAGGGACAGAAAAGAGAGTCCTAACTAGACCCTGTGTGTACGCGAACCTAGTAAGTGACAGCAGTTACACCGCACCGGTGGGAGAGGTGGGCTTCTCGATTCAATATTTCTGAACGCTGCTGGAAGTGAATAAATAGATCGCTGAACTCCTAACTGTACATTATTCACCAAAATCCGCACCAAAGAATTCAGAACTTCAATGCGAAGAACAAAACTTTAAAATGTCTGGGGAAAAAAATATTGGAGACTCTATAAGTGACCTTGGGTTAGAAAGAACGTCTTAAAGGCACGGAAGGCACGAACCATAAAAGAGAAGCCTGGTGTTTGACTACGTTAAAAATTTAAAACGACATCAAAAGATACCAAAAAACAAAATGAAGAGGCGCTGCGTTCTGGGAGCAGAAATTTCCAGTAGTGAGAGCCACGATGCTGAGCCCCAGGAGACTGTGCCTGGATTAACTTGTCCTTGCTTCCTGCAAGCTGGAGGTGCAGGGGGCAATACTTTCCCCCATTTCCCCAAGGAGAAGCATGGAGGCTCTGAGAATCACATGACCTGCCTGCAGCCCCACCACTGGCCAATGCCTCGACATTCATTTAGTCCCGGGCTGGTTGGACACCAGTACCCAAGTCTCATTCCCACCCCTTTGTGTGGTCACCCTGAGCCTGCCTGCCCCCAAGGCTGCACTAAATGATCAGACCACAGAAATGATGAATAAAGAGACCAGTGTACATACACACACACACACACACACACACACACACACGCAGACGTGAACTTATGGCCTCTCTCTGGGATGGGGTATGGGTTACAGAGTTCTTGGCTCCTCTGGAAGATTAAAAAACAAAAACACGAACCCTCCTAGGGTCAAGGTGATAATACAATAAAATGAGAATGGCGAACTGTGGCTACATTGATTTTTAAGTTAATGTTTTCTATGACAGAGACAGAGAAACAGAAAACACCCCCGGCAGGGTCTCAGCGCCACACTCCATCCCCAGCCCTCGCCAGCCCAGATCTTGGGAGCATGCATGCCCAGCATACTCTGGGAGGTCTCCAGATGGGAGCCCAGAACCTTCCCACGTGAGTCAGCTTTGCAGGGTGTCATGCTTCACCGCTGTCCCCCTGTCCAGCCCCCATTGCATGCCCTGAGAATGACTCGCTCAGTCGGCACATACAGGGGGGCCTAGGAGGCCAGCGCACCCAGCCACTCAGGGGGCAAAGGAGTTGTAAGTCAGGTAAGAAACAAGTCAGAGAGGTCGGACAGAGTATGCGAGGCCACACAGCTAAAGAGCTGCAGAGCTGTTAGAGTCAAGGAAGGGCCTGTTTCCTAGCCCTGCCCCCGGAAACTGACTGTCTCTGTCCCTCCCTGCCTCCCTCTCTCTCTCTGACACACACGCACACACACACGCACCCCAACTCCCACCGGAATAAAAGGCCTGCAGCCGACAAGATGCAAGTCACACTTTATTCACTCGCTGGGAGGTCTGGAGGGGTCCTGGGCAGCAGACCTGGCTCCTGGGAGGGAGGAGTGGTGGGGAGCACCTAGTTGGAGGGGTGGAAGGCCCCTCGTTGGTGCCACTGCATGTCACGGATGCGGCGCACGGACTGCACCTGGGGGTGGGGAGCCCCGAAGTCACTGCTGTCTTTGTAGTCGCCCTTCTCCAGCAGGTACTGCAGCCCGCGGTAGCCAGGGTACTGGTAGCCAACCCACCTGCAGGGCCGGGGTGGGGATGGGAAATGGGGGGACAGAGGGAGAAGCAGGAAGAAGGGGCGTGGGGAGAGAGAGAGAGGGCATTAGGAAGGGTGTAGCCTCTCGACCATTCAGACTTCCTGGTGCTGAGCTGGACACCCCTTTGTACCCCACCCTTCCAGCATCGAGCCTCTGCTTCCTTCCTTCTCTTGATGGGGAGCTCCCTGCTTCCTGAAACAAACCGGCTCAAGGCCTGATCCTGGGATCAGAGCAAGGGGTGCTCCTAAGCCCACTGAACAAGATGGGCCTCTTACCACTCTGTCTACTCTGGTCCCAGCCCCAAGCCCAGATGCAAGGCAAAGGTGGGGAATGTTCCAGGAGCCCTCTGTAATCCCTTCACCATCGCGGGCCTTTACTGCAGAGGGGCCACTAACTTTTCTGAGCACCTGATAAAAATTACAGTCTTCTCCCCAGAAAATGTCACACGGCCTTGTTCAGTTCCTCTCTGCAGATGCCACCTCCTCAACTTCTCCGTCTGGTGCTCCCACATCTATCGTCCGGCCTCCGTGGTCACTGTAGGCTCATCAGGCTCCTCCCACCACAGGGCCTTTGCACATCCCGTTCTCCTGCTGGGGATCCCCTTCTGTGCTTTTTACCTCTGCATTTCCTGTTCTTCCTTGAGATTTCAGCCCAAGCAACCCTCCCTCAAAGAACTCGCTTCCATTTGTGTGAATTTTTAAATTATCAGCACTTAACCCCTCTTGTTACACAAGGCAGAATCCAGGTTTCCTTCACCTCTTTTCATCAACTGAGCACCTAACACAGCGCCTGACACATGACAGTACGCAATAAGTGGAATGAATGGGAATACAAACACAGAGCTTTACCAACTATTATAGGAGCAAGGATTTGTTGCTACTCTAGCTCTCATGGGGGAGAGGGAGAGGGACAGGGAGGGAGAGAGAGAGACTTAAACTGTAGCATTTGCCAATGTCTGTGGTGTAAATGTTCTCACGAGGACTGATTTCAAGCTACCAAAGATTGCTCAACCAGCTTACAAACCCCTGAACATTTCAGAGTCAGTTCCTACAAACTATTAGGTCACCGGGAAAGTCATGACACATTTTTTTCTATGCAAAAATGTGTCATGACTTTTCCAACGACTGAATAGTATGAGTCCGTTCCAGCAGCGAGTAGGTAACGCTTATCTATGGATGCCCCTGGAATCCGAACTCTTCACTCAGTGCTGACGGCCGACGTTTATGAGCCAACGAAGTTCACTATGGTAGATGGTGAAAGCCCATTTCCAAACTCAGGCAGTCATGGAGCAGAAGGCCAGCATGAGCAGGCCGCCCTGCCTCTCACCGCTTGGGTAAGGCCACTCGACACATTCCCACCCTTCTCCCTCAACTGCCCTGCACCGACACACACTGTCCTGCTCTTCGGGACTGAGATGAAGACCAAGCTCTCTCTACTGCAAAGGCCGGGGGTTGCCTGGAACATGGCTCTGGGTGCAACCTCAGGATGAAAGCCACTTACGGTTTTCATGCCCGCTGTCCTGACTGAGGTCGGGGGAGTACGGTGCGAGGTGATCAGTGAGTTCAGGACACATTTTTTTCTATGCAAAAATGTGTCATGACTTTTCCAACGACTGAATAGTATGAGTCCGTTCCAGCAGCGAGTAGGTAACGCTTATCTATGGATGCCCCTGGAATCCGAACTCTTCACTCAGTGCTGACGGCCGACGTTTATGAGCCAACGAAGTTCACTATGGTAGATGGTGAAAGCCCATTTCCAAACTCAGGCTGTCATGGAGCAGAAGGCCAGCATGAGCAGGCCGCCCTGCCTCTCACCGCTTGGGTAAGGCCACTCGACACATTCCCACCCTTCTCCCTCAACTGCCCTGCACCGACACACACTGTCCTGCTCTTCGGGACTGAGATGAAGACCAAGCTCTCTCTACTGCAAAGGCCGGGGGTTGCCTGGAACATGGCTCTGGGTGCAACCTCAGGATGAAAGCCACTTACGGTTTTCATGCCCGCTGTCCTGACTGAGGTCGGGGGAGTACGGTGCGAGGTGATCAGTGAGTTCAGGACGGGTCAGGCCTTCGGGGCCGAGAGCTTGGGGCCCTGGGACGGCGAGCCAGGGCTGGGACTGCACTTACGTGCCGCTCTGCACACGCACGGAGGACACCTTCTCCTGGTAGCCGTGGGCGTGGAAACTGGGCACGTCGTCATCGATGATCTCCATCTTCTTCCCCGTGAAGTTGGGGTTCTCGTAGAGGATGATCTTGTGCTCCTGGCTGTCCTGTTGACGGCGTGGGAGCAGGTGAGGGTGGGGAGGGGACCCAGGGGGGCCTTCCCACTCCACCCTCATGCCCCAAGTTGGCTTGGGAAGAATATATATTGAGTTCCTCTTGGGCCACTTGAAGAGTATTTGATTAGAAAATTTCACTGTCTCTTCCATCGCTTCAGTTTCCTCTTTCATAAATGCCAGCCATGGTCTACCCCTACACACACACACACACACACACACACACACACACACACAGGCTTACTGGTGCTTCTTGCAGGTATTTAAGTTGTTTGGGGTTTCCTTCATTTCCACATCTCTTCCCATCCTACTGGCCCCATGATTCCTTTCTTACTTATGTATTCCTCTAAACAACTCTTAAGCCAGTGGGCAAAGAAGACGGAGGCTCAGAGAGGTGAGGTCACCTGCCCAAGGTGACCCCGCTTGGCAACGCAGCTCTGTGGGGCACTCAGCCCGATGTTCTCCAGCCTTCTATCGAGCTCTGGGAAGAACTTGACTGGGCTTGGAAGGTTTGGGAGTACAATTGTGCATTGCTGGGCCCTTTTCTCTCCCTGTTCACACACTAGCACGAATCAGGACCAGGCAAGCCCTAGAAGCTCTCTCTGCTATGAGTCTTAAGTAAGAGTTAAATTAACTCTTCTGCACCCCTAAATCCAGAATGACTTTAGCAGTTATGGTGGTGATCCCTTGTGAGCGATGACTCTGTGACAGGAGGTGCACGACCCTGGGGAGCACCATCCTCAGGGAATAGACCGTGAACAGCATCCCTTGAAGCACCTTGCAGTATTGTGAATGGAACCCCCTGGCATTGTGCAACCCTCAGGCTAAGCCACTGGAACCTCAGAGGAGTAGATGCAAATATCCCTATTTTACAGATGAGGAAACCGAAACTCAGGGAGGTAAAATGATGTTTGCAAAGTCACATGCAGAAGAGGCAACTGGCAGATCAGAAGGGAGATGATGTTCACAATGAAGCCTCCTTCCTGGCCCCTGGACCTCTTGCTTCCCGGTGGCCAAGAGAAGAAGTGGCTGATGGGCAGGGGCCTCACCACTTTGATGGGCCTCAGGGAGCTGAGAGAGTCCGTCCTCCGGCTGCTGGTCCATGAGTCCCAGCGGGGATACTCGCCCTTCTCAAACACAAACTGCTCACCCTTGCAGTTGGCTTGTTCGTAGCCCACCCAGCTGCAGTGGAGACACAGAGAGGTAGGGCAAGTTAGTCCCACTCCAAGATTCTGTGGTAGGACCCTGGCTGCTCACTCTGGCTCAAGGTCCACTCTTGTCCAGCCCAGCAAACAGTCATAGCCCCATCTAAATCCAAAGACAGCAAATCCAAGTGCAGAATCACCTCACTTATTTGGAACTTGGTGCTATGCTGCCTTCAACCATCTGGAACACAACTAAGAAATAAGAAGAAAGTCCAAAAGACTGCTCAGCAAATACATCCTGATGTATAAATTCCATGCACTGAAACCAATGGTATGCTGATAAGTGAATGGCTGAATCTCAGAAAGAGAAAGCAAAAACCCACCATCTTGATTGGCGGCATTTGCCAATTCCCATGGTGTAAATGCTCCCACCAGAGCAGCCTTCAAGCTCTCCAGGTGGTGTCAGAGAGTGGAGCTGGGAAGAGCTGAGCACTGACTCTAGACCTCCTCTAAAGCTCAGGCACTTTCTTCATCTTAAGCCCTCCTTTGGGTCTACTTTCTTTTTCGTACTTTTTTTATTTTTCCTTTATTCATGATAGAGTGAGTGTGTGTATGTGTGCATGAGAGTGAGAGAGGAGCACCCTCCACAGGGTCTGGTCATGCTGCAACCTCCTTCCTCCAGCCCTCTAGCCCAGTGAATCTTGAGTTCACACATATGCTCAGTGTGTTTCAGGCCAGACCAGGGTGGGGATTCGAACCACAGTGGTCATGTAGGATTCAGATTCCCTAGAATTGCTGCACCAAGATTCTATTGGGGTTGCTGTCTCTTTCTCTTTCTCTCACTCACTCATTCATGGATGGAATAAATAAATAAACTTAAAAAGAGAAAGAAGGGCCAGCAGGTGGCATGGTGGTTAAGGCGCTGGACTCCCACATAGCCAAATGCGGTTTGAGTCCCAGACCCAGTGGCTTGAAACTCACACCAAGCACATGTGTGTGAGTGCTCAGAATCCCAACAGGAGAATGGAGAAGAGGGGACTGCAGTGTGGCCATCCCTCCTGGTGGATGCTTTCTTACTTTCTCTTTGTCTCTCTCTAGTGAGCTCACCTGCCCTAAGGGGGAAAAAACTAAAAAAGAGAAAGAAAAAGAGAGAAAGAGGCCCTCTTCACCAAATAAATAAATAAATAAAACCTGAAAATCATAGAGGTTAGAAGGGAGAGGATCAGGGGGAAAATATATATATATATAAAACACATTTAATAGACGCAAAAATGAAAATGTATCTGCTGATGATAGTGTATATGGTAATGTCTTTGACTTGACTCATATGCGTCATATTTAAGTTGGGAAAAAAACCATGTTGTACACTATAAAGATGTACATTTTAAAAATGTTTTTAAATTTAAAAAGAAACTTGAGTTATCTGGAAAAACATGTTCATAAATGCAAGGATTCCCTGAGCTCGCCAGGTAACCGAGCGCTGCAGGGGCACTCCTTTATCCGTGTTCTCTACAGCTCATCTCTGACTCTCAGGCAGGGCCAGTGCACTCTGCAAACCTCCCTGAGAACCTTGAGACACGGTGCGGGTCACCTAGGGTCCCCCCACCATGCCAGACTCGCTGACCTGTTGGGTGGGAGCTGGAGTGGACACCCCGGATTCCTGAGGCTCTTCCAGAGCAGGGGTGACCAGGAATCACAGCAGAGCCTCCTGCAATCCCCTGGGTTTGTGCCCAAGGCTCTTAGCAGCCACAAGGACTGTACTCACCTACGTGACGCTGGCAGAGTCCACTCCAGCCCCCTTCTTTTTTGGAAGAGTCCCAGCCCCCACAAATCTGTTACAGCCCCATATCAGGATTCGAGAAACGGGAGCAGGTGCAGAACTGAGACCCCCAGCCTTAAACCTCCCAGGAGAGTAAGGTCCGATTAGAGCCAGAGACCAGCAGTTCTGGTTGAGAACTCTCTGACTCCCTGAGAGTCACCATGCCCCTGTTCCTACCTCAAGGAAGTGGCTGACCTCTGTGGCAGGCCTTCCACCTGAGCTCTCTCCCTGCCACCTCAGACTACACAGGAGAAAGCTCAGAGAGGGAAGTTTCTAGGCCTTTCGTACAGCCCAGAAGGAATGAAGCCAGGATTTGAAAGCAGCTCCAATTCTAAACCACAAGTTGTCTCCATAGGTTGTCAGACCCCCAAATCCTGTACCCCCAGCCACATAGTCTAGGACACAGTGAGGGCAGATCCCCCTAACTCCACAGCCTGACTGCCTCACCCCGGCAGCCCCTGAGCAGGGGAGGCCACCCAGGTACATACGGTCCGGCCTGCACCAACACGGATCCTGCTTTCTCCACGCCAGTCTCCTTCAGGTTGGGGCAGGGCCCATTGAGCTCATGCGAGTGGCCCTGGAAATTCTCCTGCTCGAAGATGATGATCTGCAAGAGGAAGCGAGAGTCAGCGCCGTCACGACGGGAAGGAGTGAGAGCCAGGCAGTGAAGCTGGGCAGGAGCTCAGAGAGCCTGGGAGGATGCTGTCAGGAGCTAAACATAAACTCCAGCAGTCCTGGATCTGCAGGTGACCAGCTGCAAGGGCTTGAATTCACCTTTCTCTCGTTTAAGCATCGGTCTCTCTCTCTCTGTCAAATGGGACATAAAGACAGAACCTACCTCCATCGTTAGAAGGATTCAGGGGAGCACAGTGATTTGTGTTTGCTCTGTTTGTGGGAAACATAAGGATGTTAATTAAGAGACATGTTACAAAGCCCATGTGAGTAAGTGGCGGAGGTGAAACCGGAGCCCAGGCTTGTCTGATGCAGCGAAAACTCGAGCAGCGCTTTGCAAACTCTAACATGCGCACGCAGGATGTGGAGCCTTGACAAAAGGCAGTGTCTGAGGCATAAGGTCTGGGTGGCAGCCTCTGGATTCTGTGTTTCCAACCCGCTCCCACAGAATGCTGAGCCATCAGACTACGGACCATATCGGGAGTATGAAGGGGCTAGACTGCACTGTCAGAGCTTCCCCTGCTCCCCTCAGGGCTGGAGCAGTTGTGCCATTGCCATCTCTTGCCTCCATTTCACCTGTAAAACTACACATACCTGGGCCTTTTCTTTAAGCCCTCACGGGCTTTCTGGGTCTTCCTAGGACCACCCCTGGGGATACATGGTAAGGAGATTTCACTCCCCTTGTCTCACCTGCTTCTCTCATCATCCCAGGGAAGGGGGCTCACAAGATCCCCATCAAGGAAACTGAAACTCTGTGAAGCAAAGTGAGGATCTCCCCCAAGGCCCTAACCAGCAGGCCAGCTGCTAGCGATTGTGATGAGAACTGGGGACGTGCTTCTGCAGGGAGCTGCCTCTGGGTGGAGAGGTGGGCTCAGGGCAGCCGACTCCCAGGGCATCCAGCTGCAGAATCCACACGGTCAGCACTGGCTGGGTAAACACGCTCCTCTCTCCCAGGCTGCGGATTAGCCAGATAAAGGAAGGGAAGGGAGTGGCCGGCAGGGCCCAGAGACAAATTCCATGGGCTCAATTCAACCTTCACGGTCACTGACTCAGCCAGCGCGGGACCAGGAGCCATGCGCTCTGAGGCCTCCCTCATTGCTGTGGAGCCCTGGGGAGCAGCTTCCTCTGAGCCTCAGTTCTCTCACCTGTAAAGTGGGATCACCATGCCTGCTTTGCCAGGTTGCTGAGGGGAATCAAGAATATGGACATTCGGGGACCAGCAGATGGTGTCGTTGTTAGGGTGCCAGACTCCCATATGGTCGGCTATGGTTCAAGTCCCAGACCTGGTAGCTTGAAACTCATGCCAGGCACATGGGTATGCATGCATGCCCAAGATCCCAAGAGAATAGAGGAGAAGGGATTGTGGCATGGCCATCCCTCCTGGAGGGTGATTTCTCTTTCTCTCTGTCTCTCTGGCAAGCACACATGCCCTATAGCAAAAACCTTTCTCTAAAACAAAGAAGAATATAGACATTGGTTTTTTTGCTTTTATTACTGCACTAGCCAAGGAGATGAGGACTTGTAGAGAGAAGAGGGAGTGGACTGATGAGAAAGATTTGCCTCTCCAAGCATTTGCAAGACCTCAGCGAGTCCGGAAGTTCAGGACCATTGTTGCTGTTATTATTATTAATCAATACAATAGCGGCCCCATTATACACGTTATCTAATCCTGTAAAGTGGAAGCCATTCGTTACCTGGTCATTGAGGATGCACAACCAGTCCAAATTAAGATGTGTTATTCGTATGAATTTCCCTTGAGAGTCAGAAGATTTAGTATGAAAAAAAGAATATAAAATATCTCCCTACTAAGACTCCAGTTGACTCTGCCGTAAAAGGTTTATCTTTGGGATCTACTTGGTTTAATAAAAGATAAAAATTTAGCTCACTTGTTTCTTTTGACTTTTTTGAATGTGGCAACTTTTTGATGGTGTGTAGCTCACATTATGCCCCCATTGGATGGTGTTGCCTTAAACTCGGCCTTTCTGCTGTTTCCAAACTCACCCAGCTCACTCTCACCTCAGGGCCTTGGCAGCTGCTGTTCCCTCTGCCTGATGCTCTCACCGATCCCCCACCCTCAGTTTTCACACGGCTGCTCCATCTTTTAACCCAGATCTCTACTCAAATGTCACCTCCTCCAAGAGGCCCTCCCTGATCACCTCGGCTAACTCTACCGTACCTTGTTCACCCCCAAAGAAACCCCTTGCCCTCCCTTTCTGCTCCTTTGTAGCATTTCTATTTGAAACCATATATTCATGTGTTTGCTTATTGTCTGTCTGTCCTCACGTCCCTTTTATGTTCCCCTAAGGGACAGAGCCGGTTGAGCAGGAGAGGGGCTGCTTCCCTGACCAGAAAGGCAGCGAGTCAGGCAGGAAGGCAGATCCAAATGGAATCGCTCCCCGGGCTTGGAAGCAGAGGTGCACAGGAAAGCAGTCGGAGGGTGATGGCTGATGGAGCTGAGGGGCAGACTGGGTGGCACGAGCCTCTGACGGGAGGGTAAGATCACTCTACCCGCTCACAGACCCCTCTCCAGCCCGGAACCACACTCTACCCGCTCACAGACCCCTCTCCAGCCCGGAACCACACTCTACCCGCTCACAGACCCCTCTCCAGCCCGGAACCACACTCTACCCGCTCACAGACCCCTCTCCAGCCCGGAACCACACTCTACCCGCTCACAGACCCCTCTCCAGCCCGGAACCACACTCTACCCGCTCACAGACCCCTCTCCAGCCCGGAACCACACTCTACCCGCTCACAGACCCCTCTCCAGCCCAGAACCACATTCTACCCGCTCACAGACCCCTCTCCAGCCGGGCCTGAGAGTCCGCCCAGGCTTGGAGACCCCACGGCAGAGGGCAGCGAGCGGAGGGCAAGGCAGAGAAACTAAGTCCCCAAAGCTGGAAGCTGGGGCTGAGAACACTTGCATGCCAGCCCTGGGTTCGGGAGAATCTTCTGAACCAGCTGCTGCCATGCAGGTGGGGAGACTGAGGTCCAGAGAGGGCCAGGGAGGGAGGGTGGAGCCCGGGAAGGCGACGCCAACGCCACTTGACAGAAGGGAAACTCAGTCTGGGAAAGGAACGCCGCTTGCCGCCCCCTGCGCACACTCCCAGCGAGGCACTCACCTTGGGGTTCAGGGGCTGTGGCTTGCCCGCCTGGGTCTGGTGGTCTGAGGCCATGGTGGACTGTCCCGTGCAGGAATGACCTAGAAGACAAGAACGGGCAGCAGTGAGGACCTCGCGAGGCCTCCAGTTGGACCTCGGGGGCCTCTGCCCACTCTGCTGTAGCTCCACATGCAATTCCATCACCCCTGGTCCTTCTAGAACCATGGGCTCTGGGGGCAGCTTTCTGACCGGCCATCCTTAGCTGCACTTCTTTGGGTCCAGGTCAGCTTCTAGGGGAGGGGAAACTGAGGCCTAAGGAAGTAAGTGATGGGTTAGCCCCCATAAATCCCACATGGCTGGCTGCAGTTCAAGTCTGGACCCTGAGGCTTGAAAAACGCACCATGTGTACATCAAATCCTGACCGGATAGAGAACTGGAGGAGAAGGGATTCCGGAGTGACCACGCCATACTACAGAATGCTTTCTCTCTCTCTCTCTCTCTCTCTCTCTCTCTCTGTCTGTCTCTCTCTCATAACACAGTCTGTCTCTCTCCGGGGAGCACACATGCCCTCTGGCAATTTTTTGAAAGTGATGATAAACTTAGCTTTAAGCAGGGTTCCCCGGGGGGGTCCCCGCACTCAGCTCCACACAATGCGTGCTGCAGCGATGCAGACCTGTCAATATTCAAACTTCCACCTTCCGTGCAGAACGTCCGAGTTTACAGAAGATGATGTGAGATGAACAAAACCCATCCCCTGGCCATGTCTGGCCACGTCAGGGCTCCCAGTTTGAGAAGATGAAGAGTTCCCGGAACCCCTGGCCCTTACCGCCCACCTCCTCCGGACATCCCTCTCCCATCCTGTACCCCAAATCCTCCTGCCCAGCACTGGCCTTGCCCCCCAGCCCGTGAGCGCATCTCTTGTGGGGTTCCAGTTGCAGGAAGTTGAAGAAAGGAGCGCAGGGCACAGCGGTGCAGCCCAGGCTCCGCACTGGAGCAAGCTAAGCTGCGAGACGTCAGAACCATCTGGAAAGCCGGCAGCCCCTTCTCCCTCCCTGCAGGAGGAAGTCACCCCAGACTGCGTTTCCCTGGGAACAATCGAAGAAATCTAGCCTCCTCCCGCAGCGACAGTGTCCAGCTTCCAGGAGCCCCTTCCACGCCAGAGGCCGGAACTACACGTCCTTAAGGAGGACGTGACCTTGGGAGCCGAACCTGCTGCTTTCCCCCCCAAAAAAACAGCCATCTCTGCCTGTCCCAGTGCCTGAGCTTCTGCTCTTGTGCCCCCTTGGACGTGGGTATTCTCGCACCAAGGAGGACAAAGCTCCGGTGATCCAGTCCCGGCTCACCGCCTACCTGCGTGGAGGCCCCGAGCGGTTCGCGTCCTCTCCCTACGCCTCACTTTCCTATCCTGTAAAACCGGGGCGGCCGGGCACCTCACCGCCTCTGTGAACCCGCTGCAAGGCTTCAGTTCTATAAGGCGTGAGCCTGAGCGTCCTAGAACGCACTCGGCACCCAGTAAACAGCAGCAATTGCAGCCCCATTCGAGTCAGTTCCACCGGGCTTGAAATCACCTGATTCCAGAGGCCCAGGGAGCAGCAGCTGCCTCGGCCCCCGAGGGCTCCCGCCCCACGGCTGCCATGGACCAGGGGCCTTCACGAGCTCATAGGAAAATGGAATGAGTTTATTTTGGTGCCAAAAAAAAAAAAAAGAAAGAAAAAAAATTGAAATCCATAGTTTTTTCCTAAAAGGCATTTCCCATGAACTTTTCAAGGACCACCCTGGCAGGAGGGGATGTTTGTGGACACAGAGACAGCTCACAGACCCACAAATGACCCCGGAGAACCGCTGCTTGGATTCTTGGGAATCCGTAGTCAGTCTCCTCACTAGTTCCGGTAAAAATGAGGATGCTGATGGTCAGCGTAAAACTAGTAATAAGCAGGGCCCGAACACCCACCCAGCCTGACCCATCAACCCCGTTATCTCTAGCCCCCACAATCAAGGAAGTGAGACGACCTCTCTCCCCATTAACCAGAAAAGAACACTGAGGCCGAAAGCATTGAAGTCTCTGCCCTTGTCAGAAAGCGGTGGCATCTAGATTCGAACCCAAGTCTCCCACCGGGGTGGGGATGAGAGAAGAAGACCAGGCAAGCAAGAGAGGCAAGCATTCTTACCAGTGACACCAGCCCCCGCGAGTGCCCGTGAAGCCCGACCGGCGGGAGGTGGCATTTATACCTTCCCCAGAAGAGCCGGTGCCAAGACGGGGGATCGCTGCAGCCCCGCGGAAAGCAGGGCGAGAATGCTGGATTAAGCCCGCACCAAAGGCCGGGTCAGCAAATGCCTACAGACATTGTGTCTCTGCACAATAATGTCATTAGCTTTCAGATTCGGCCGCGCCAGGGTGGTCAGGCGGCTGGGCAAGGAGAGATGCCCGCTTTGCATGCATCAGCCGTCCCGCTGCCAGGACCGGGGGCAGGCTGGGTTCACCGGTGCGGTCAGTCGGGCCCTGGGGCATGGCAGACAGAGGCGAATCTCGGTGGCCAGGGAGGAAAACACAAGTAAAAGGAGGGAGGTTTAGCAGGGCCTGGTGTTCATTCATGCAGGCGTTCATTCATTCAACAAATATGTGTCAGGCCTCCACTTGGTGCCAAGCTCTGTTGTAGGAGAGAGCACCAGGGAAGGGACCCAGCCCAGCCTGGGAAACCCAGTAGAGCTCCCTGGAGGAAGCGGAGCCTTCAGGGATGGGGAGAAATTAGCCTGGGAAACAGCTGGCAAGAGGGTTCCAAGCAGAAAGGGCCCACATGTGAGGAGTCGTGGTGTTTTAAGGGAGTCCTGAAAACAGGTGAATGTGGTAAGGCGTCGCAGTGGCGGGCAGGGTGGGCAGGGCCTAGTCACGCTGGGCCAAGGAGAGTGCGAGTCATCCTCAAGGCCCCTGGCTGCCCCACACCTGCTGGCCTGACGTGGGGCGTTCCTAGAATCCCAAGCCCCTGAGGTTTGGAGAGAGCTCTGGGATCCCTCCTGCTGGCCCCATCACGGCGCGGGAACGCCCGGCCTTCCCTCGCGCCCCTTCCTTACAGCGTCGCCAGCTAGGTCTTGACCGAATCCGAGGTCCAGGAGGAGAGGGGACAAAGTGGAACTGGGTGGAGGATCGAGGACACTTACCCCGTCCCATCTCCTAGTTCCTCAAGGTGTGCGCACACACACGCAGGCACGCACACACACACATGCACGCACACACACGCATGCACGCACACACACGCATGCATGCACACACACGCATGCACGCACACACACGCAGGCATGCAGGCACATGCCACATGCACATGCCCAGCCCCCTAGCCATGTCATTACCTTCAGCTGCACTTGTCAAAACCGGATGCTCAGGACCAGCACTTAGTGCAATGGCTATGTCGCTGGATTCCCATGTAAACGACCACAGTTCGGGTCCTGACCCAGTGGCTTAAACTCACGCCGGGCGGGGGGGCATGCATGCCTAAGATCCCGAGAGGAGAACAAAGGAGAAGGGACTGTAGCGTGGCCATCCCCCTGGGAAGTGATTTCTTGCTTTTTGTTTCTCTGTCTCTCTCTATCTCTCCGGTGAGCGCCTTACAGCAAAAATCTCTCAAAAAAAGAAAAAAAGTGGATGTCCTCATTTTCTGTCTCTCCAGCTACAACAATGAGTGTCATGGAGGCAGAACTGTTGTCTGCTTTGTTACCATGGTATCTACAGAGCCCAGTGCCTGACACACAGTAGGTGCGTGTGTGAGATTCCCAGGGCTATTGTAGCAAGGTACACAAACTGGCTTAAAAACAACAGAAATTTGGGGCAGCAGGTGGCAACGAGGTTAAAGTGTCTGGATCCCTCATGGCCAAGTATGCAGTTCAAATCCTGGACCTGGTGGCTTGGCTTGAAAATCATGCCAGGTGCATGTGCATGTGTGCCCAAACTCCTGAGAGGAGACTGGAGGAGAAGGGACTGTGGTGTGGTCATCCACTGCAGGGGGTGATTTCTCACTTTCCCTTTCTCTCTCCTTGTCTGTCTCTCTCCAGTGAGTGCACCGTAGTAAAAACTAAAAATAAAATGCAAAAAAAAAACACCAGAAATTCGGGGCTGGATGGTGGCGCAGCAAGAACACTCAATGCCCTGTAAGGCTGACCCAGATGAGAAAGTCCCAGGTTCGTGTCTGGAGGCCTCCCTGAGGGTTCCGGGCATGTATGTGCTCTGAATCCGGGGCTGGCCAAGACTGAGCATAGCTTATGATGTCAGAATACGTGGGAGTGCTGTCTCTGTCTCTCATCTCTCTTGCTCATGAAAAACTAAACAAACTTTTAAAAAGCACAGAAATTTCGGATGGGAAATGGTGCCTCTATGGAAAACATGACAGTCTCAAAAATATTAAACATAGAATTACCATATGATCCAGCAATTGTGCTTCTGGGCACCTGCCCCAAAGTATTATTGAAAGCAGGGCTTGAACAGATGTTAGTTCACCACATCCACAGAAGCATTATTCACGGCCACCAGAAGGTGGAAACAGCCTGATGCCCATCAACGCATGAATGGATAAGCAGAATGCGGCCCGCTCATACAATGGAGTAGTATTCAGCCTTAAAAAGGAAGGAAATTGTGACAGATGCTGAGCCTTGAAAACATTATGCTGAGTGAAAGAAGCCAGACACAAAAGGATAAATATTGTATGATTCCACTTGGCTAAGGTACCTCGGGATAGGCAATCCACAGAGCCTGAACGTAGAATGGAGATTACCAGGGGCGGGGAGGAGAGAGGATGAGGAGTTACTGTGGCATGGCAGTTTCTGTTGGGGATGATGGAAAGTTCTGAGATGGAGAGAGGGGATGACGGCACGCACTGCCCGAACTGTGTGATTAAAAATGGTGAAAACGGGCCGGCATTGGAGCCCAGCAGGTAAGGGAGTTGAATCCAACATGGCTGACTATGGTTTGAGTTCCAGTCCTCGCAGCTTGAAAACCACACCAGGCAAGTGTGCAGGCATGCCCCCCAAATCCTCCTGGGGTGGAGAAATGGAGGAAAAAGGATTGCGATGTGACTGTCCCCCACTGGGGGTACTTACTCTCTTTCTGTGGTGAACACACCTGCCCTCTGGCAATAAATAAATAAATAAATAAATAAATAAATAAATAAATAAATTTTTAAGTGGTTAAACTGGTGGATGTTATCTTATGTATATTTTGCCATCAAAATGTAAAAAAAAAAAAAAAAAAAAA